CCCCTCAGCATCTCCGTGGCCTCCCCCATGGCCATCCTGATGCCCTCACCTCTTCTGTCAGCTCTCCCATGCCCCTGTTATTGATGCACCCATGTCACCAGCTGCCTCACCCCCCTCCCTCTCTGCTTGGTTTGCCCCCAGCTGCGAAAGCAGAAGGGGATTTGGGGCTGTTCTCACCCCTGTTCTCCTTGGGGCTGAGGTGACCCTGGCCATGCAGGTCTGGGATGCTGGGACAGAACCAGGCTTTTGGTGTCCAACCGAAGGGATTCGATGCTGAAAACATCACTGGAGTGTGAATTCCCAAAGCAGCTTTGCCTCCCCAGTTTGTCTCTTGTGTTTAGAACAAGGGAGGATGGCTTGAAATTGGAATTTGGGAGATTGAGAGTGGAGTTTGGGCAGAAATTGGTGAGTGTGAGGGTGGTGAGGCCCTGGCCCAGGTTGCCCAGAGAAGCTGTGGGTGCCCCCTCCCTGGCAGTGGCCAAGGCCAGGTTGGCCGGGGCTTGGAGCAGCCTGGGCTGGTGGAGGTGTCCCTGCCCATGGGGGTTGGACTGGGGGGGCTGGGAGGTCCCTTCAACCCAAACCAGGCTGGGATTTGATTCTATGATTGAGCCCAAGCTTTTGTCTGGTGGACAAGCTCAGGTCTTCCCACACTTCACTGCTCTGGGTTCACGTTTCTGTGCCAATCGGCCCCAAAATCCTCCTGTGAAGTTTCCCTTCGCACAAATCTTTGTGTAGGCACATTGGTGCCTGCCTCCCTCGCAGAGAAAACTCTGTTTCCATTAATCCTGAGCACAAATTGGCCGTTAATCTTGACACTAATGGGGGAGTCCTGCTGGCTTCACGACCAAGGACCTTGGGCTTGGCCGCCTTATCATGAGAAGCCCCAAAAGCGAGGGCCTGAGTTGTCAATTGGGATTTCTTTGCTTGCTGGGTTCTTAAACAGTCCCAGGAGGAATTGGTTTCATCCCAACACCGAACAATGAGCGGCGTTGTGGAAAAATGCCCTCATTTTTTCTGATCCACGCGAGAGTTTTTGCCTGAAATTTCCCCTCGCTCCGTTTTCCTGCTGTGCTTCTTGCTGCAGCAATTCGGGTAGCGGTTGGATTTGATGATTTTAAGGGTCTTTCCCAATGATTCTGTCATTTTATTTGGGTTATAGTTGTGTAGCAGAGCTCTGTGGTGTCTGAGCACAACATTTCCACGCTGGCTACCAACTTTAAACTCCATTTCCGTTTCCATTTTGCTCACACTTCACACACAGAATCACAGAATCGCTCGGTTGGAAAAGCCCTCTGAGATCACCATGTCCAACCGTTCCTGTCTACCCCCTAAACCATATCCCTAAGTACCTCGTCTACCCGCTCTTTAAACACATCCAGGGATGGTGACTCCACCACCTCCCTGGGCAGCCTGTGCCAGCTTCTGACGACCCTCTCAGTAAAGAACTTCCTCCTTATCTCTGACCTGAACCTCCCTTGGCACAGCTTGGTGCTGTTTCCCCTTGTTCTGTCCCCCATCACCTGGGAGAAGAGCCCAGCACCCACCTCTCTACAACCTCCCTTGAGGCAGTTGGAGGTGGTGCTGAGGTCTCCCCTCAGCCTTCTCTTCTCCAGGCTAAACAAGCCCAGTTCCCTCAGCCGCTCCTCATCAGGCTTGTTCTCCAGAGCCCTCCCCATCCTTGTGGCTCTTCTCTGAACACGCTCCAGAATCTCCACATCCTTCTTCTAGTGAGGGGCCCAGAACTGAACACAGCACTCGAGGTGCGGCCTCACCAGTGCCAAGTACAGGGGGATGATCACCTCCCTGGCCCTGCTGGTCACACTTGTGCTACTCCTGCCTTTATTTCCATATATATTTTGGCAGCTTTCTGTGTGTGTCACTTAGAGGCAATGCTTATGGTGATCTCTGTGCTTCTTTACCACCCTGCTTTTCTCCAGATCATTTCTTTGAAGACTTTCTCGGCTTCTGAAGAGATGATGGTCACGGTGACCTAGCACCGTTCTGGACTCTACAGCGGGCATTGTGCTGGTGTTGCTCTGGTTGTCTCGGAAAAGGAGAAGTTGCCCACAGTACCGTTATCAGGTATTGCTGAGCTCTGTTTTAAATAAAAATAAACCTTGGTTCAACTCACATCTCTATGTTTCTTTTTAGAGCAGCCGCAGCAGAGGAGGTGAATACGAATACTTCATATACGAGGGATCGAGAAGATTTAGTCTGAAACTAGAAGTTGTCTCTTGATATCACAGGATCACAGAATAGGAGGAGTTGGAAGGGACCTGGAGAGCTCCCCCAGTGCAACCCCTGCCACAGCAGGATCACCAGAGCAGTCACACAGGAACACGGCCAGGGCTTTGGGTGTCTCCACACAAGGACACTCCACAACCTCTCTGGGCAGCCTGGGCCATGCTCCAGAACCCTCACACTCACAAACTTTGGCCTCAGCTTCAGCTTGAACCTCCTGTGCTCCAGCTTGGGACCATTGCCCCTTGTCCTGGCATTGGACAGCCCAGAGCAGAGCCTGGCTCCTTCCTCCTGACACTGCCCTTTCAAGATTGATCCCCATGGATGAGGGCATTAATTAATATTCATTTCACCAGTAGTTACCAAGCACAGGACTTTTTTCTTCTGGAAACTTGCTCAGGTGTTCATTACGCACTTACAAATACCGTGGTGTAGCAGCATGAAGAAGGAGTTACAGATCTATTCAATACAGGCTGTAAGTGAGGTAATTGCTGCCGAGAGCATTGGAAATGTTGGCGTACCAACACTTTGCAGTGCTGTTGAGCTCCTGTGGGCTTGGTTTCACCCTTAACACCTCTTACTCAAAGCCTCAGAAGCCTGAAACAGCTCTGGATGCACCCACATGACAAAACAAGAGGCCTTCACACACAGAAAACACGAGAAAAAAGAAACCAATCTCATATTCCTGCAATTATTTGACTTTGCAAGGCCGAGAGGAGGAGAAGCTTGTGTCGTCAAACACGAATGGGCCTGGCACACAGGAGGAAATTGTTTATTTTCTCTTTCCAAGTGCCCAGTTTTCTGTGCAGAACAAGGCTGGCCAGGATTTTCCGCAACCGTTTGCCCACAGTTGTTGATAACAAAGGAGAGAAACTGCGGCTGAGTATTTGTCAGCACTTTATTTTTAAGCTTGGCTACCCTGCAGCTCGCTTTTTCATCAAAAATGTCTTTACATTTCATTGTTAGGAGGTGCAACGTTGCTGATTTGTCCCTTTTTTCCCCCCTCTCTAGCATGGCTGCAGTAGAAAAGAGAGCCCGCACGTTTGTGCGAGTCAAGCCAACGGCTGAGTTTGCTCAGGACATGATCAAGTTCGGGCCAGACAACAAGGTAAAGAAGAAGAGGCTGTGAGTGTGAAAGGTTTGGGGTTTGATTTCGGTTCTGCCCCCAGAAATGCAGAGTTCTGCCATTGCTGAAGGCCACGTGTGAAGTTTTGGTGCACGTTAACCCACGTGTTCCTGCTCGCTGTTCTCCTCTGCGCTGACAGTGACTCGTGTGCCTGTGGAAAACGTACTTCTCGTGGTAGAGTCACTGAGAAAACCCTCAAAAGGGCTGGGACTTCAGAGGAATTCCCAATGAGAAGCACAATTCCAACCTAAGAGGTCTCCTCGTGTTCCAGCCTATGCGAGTTCCTCTCTTCACCTTCACTTCCTTCACTGATAATTTCCTTTGGACACAAAATCAAACACATCTCTGAAAAGAAACAGATGAGCTTAGGCACATTTCCCCTTTTTTTAGAATAACTATTACCAGAAAATACCATCCAGGTCAGTAAAACAACACTATTATTGGTGCTCTGTTTTCTGTTTGTCTTCAGTGGGTGGTTGCTTATTTAATTTCCACACAATAACTGCTGAAACTTTGTGGCTTTTGATGTTTTCATCTCTTTTTTTTGCCTTTCAGAGCATAGATATATACATCCAAAAAGACGCCAAGAAAGGAGTTGTGAATAACAGGCAGACGGACTGGTCCTTCAGAGTGGACGGCGTCCTTCACAACACCTCCCAGGACCTGGCTTACGAGACCGTGGCGGAGAAATTGGTGTCTGATGCTTTAATTGGCTACAGTGGTAATTTGTGGCTCTTTGAATTATTCTGACAGTAAGTGGGGATTTAATTGGAGGGAGAGATCCTTTTGAAATGCAGGAGTTCCTTTCTTTTTTCTACAAGCCTTATGAGGAGCGGCTGAGGGAACTGGGCTTGTTTAGCCTGGAGAAGAGAAGGGTGAGGGGAGACCTCAGCACCACCTACAACTGCCTCAAGGGAGCTTGGAGAGAGGTGGGTGCTGGGCTCTTCTCCCAGGTGATGGGGGATAGAACAAGGGGAAACGGCACCAAGCTGTGCCAAGGGAGGTTCAGGTTAGAGCTAAGGAGGAAGTTCTTTCCTGAGAGGGTCGTCAGAAGCTGGAACAGGCTGCCCAGGGAGGTGGTGGAGTCACCATCCCTGGATGTGTTTAAAGAGCGGGTAGACAAGGTACTTAGGGATATGGTTTAGGGGGTAGACAGGAGCGGTTGGACGTGATGATCTCGGAGGTCTTTTCCAACCGAGCGATTCTGCGATTCTGTGATTCTGTGATTTTGAATCTTCGTCGTGGTTTAGGCCCAGTGCATAACTGAGCACCACGATGCCCCCCCCCAAAAAAGGGCTGGTCAAAATAAGGACTGGGAGGGCTTCTCACCACTGAAACAGGTCACAGGCAAAAGACAGACTCATCATAAGGAATAAAAACCAAACAATTTTAATTTGTTACCAACATCAGAGCAGAACAATGGGAGATACAACCAGATCTTAAAGTCAAAACACCTTCTCCCTCCCCCTTTGCCTTGAGGCGCAGGGGGATGGGAGTGGGGGTTGCAGTCGGTGTTCACGCCATGTGCTCCTCAGGAGTAGGAAAAAAACTCAGCCCAATGTCTCTCCCCCTTTCCGTAGGGGAAAAAGTGCTCAAAAGTCCAATCTGGGTCTG